TCGAAGAACTGCTGCGTTTTTCGAAGAATGTGTTTTAGTTCCGTTAATTCCGAAAAATTCTTCTTCAGCATTTCCTCATTTTGATTAACTTCTTGCAATTCATTTTCTAGCTTTTCGAATGTTGCCTGCAACAGTCGGTGAATAACTTAAAATCCGCTAAATGTAACAGTTTATATGGTGTGACAGGACTCATTTCTTTTTGTTTATTACGAATTGTATAATTTTTATCCCACCACTCACCTCTAAATCAATCATCTCTTTTGGTTGTGGAGCATCTGGATTTTCTCCTGTATCCAACATTGGTATTAAGTCTTTTTTGATTTCACGCTCCAAAAATCCTAAAAAGAAATTTACTACATAATTTCCTGAAAATTGTTATAATACTAAGCCTTATTTTACATTTTAATGCGTCCCGCTGAAGATGTCAAATATATTCACGGTAAGTATAAACCACAGGGATGTTCTAAAAGAACAAAAACTGCATAGTGTGGAGTTATGTACAATTGCCACTGGTTTGGATTCTTTTGTCTTCCACCCAAAAATTACGAAGTTACTCAGTTTTCGCTCCATTTCGTCACATCTTCGTACTTCATTGACAAATTTCCTTTGGAAAGCGCTTACATCCGGATTGAGCTGAAATGATAAGTGTAATCAAGGTTATTATAATCGCAGTAACAAACAAAATGCCAATTACTCATGTTTTCAAAGATCGCTGAATATTAGTTATCGGAAACAGAAATCAGTCCAATTAAAAACGCAAGTTGCGTTAGCTGTAAAGAGAAACAAACTTACATCACGAAACTGCACAAGACCCAATTCCCCCAGCTCTGCAACGCAAGTATACGCAGCTTCCGTTTGCAGAAACAACTGTGCTAAGCACATTTCCTCGCTACGATAAAGCGAATCCATCTTGGAGCGATTTTAAAGTGCTGGAAACCTTCCATTAAATCTACGCTTGTTCAATTAAACAATTCTGACCAATTACCGAAAGTATTTCTTACTTTTTAAGAAGAGGAAAAGAGTTACTCACAGCTATTAATTGAATTCAGTTTCCGATAAAGGCACTAAAACATAGTGTCGCAAACAAATTGCGCAATGAATACATAGGAAAGTAATATAACTTGACTTAACGTATATAAGTAACAATCATTTAGAAAGGTATGAGAACGAAAGTGACAAGCCACTACCATGGCAAAAGTAAGGAGTAGAATAGCACTGATGATAGTAACTATATCGTGAAGCCACCCCTTCCACCTAACTCCTCTTTCCTAATCGTAAGTCACGTAATACGTCAGTGAAGAAACCACACTTCAATAACGAACCAGCGTCCCCATGAAAATTCCAGAAACCACCAGGCCAACGCCATATCATCTCTATCTTGTCTCTCCCCAAATATTGTGGTATTTCGCTCTAAGTTGAAAAACGTACTGAAGGCTAAAATATTTTATTGGGTATCTTCTGAGACTATTAGAGTTCCCATAATTTACCATCTCACGTGTTACCATTTCTTTAGACTTTCGAAGTTACGAAGAAAAAAATCTGTGGCATATTGCTTCATGTTTGTAATGCTGGAAACCTTTCATTAAATCTATGCTTGTTCGGTCGAATATTTCTAACTCATCAATTCAACATTGATAAAATTTGAAGTTCGGCGAAGATATGTATAAGGTTTTGAATATTTTAGTTGGTATAATTTCAGGATCGCTTTAGAAGATTAAGGGGACTTTAAGAACAGACTGACAAACGACAGGATGGATAAACATGATCGGATCAATTCTGTGAATTAAATGAGCAAGTTATTCAGGAATATTTGAAATAATTCGAAAATAAGACCAAAGTATCGATCATATGGGTAAGTGGATTGGAAGCAAACATAGACATTAATTGGTAAGCATGAATCGATGCCACACATTTCGATGCTAAGTAAGGCAAGTGTGTTTTGGCTAGTCGATAAAGAAGTGCTGTGCTTAGAGCCTTTACGTCTGCGTATATCCATTCAGATCTGCTCTATTTTGCAGTTTTTAAGACAAACTCATTTTAAACGACCGAAGCAGATGCGAAGAGGAATCGAACTCACAGTTCGGGATGCATTAACTGAGCTCACCAGAAAGTTGGGTTATAAGTATAAAACACTTGGGAATCAAATTCATTAGATGTAAAAACTGGACTTAAAAATTAATTTTCTAAATAAATGAAATTTTTTTACCATTTTTGTCACATGTAAACTGATCTATAAAGGTCAGCTTTTTGAATGTGCACACATTTCGCAAACGTGATCAAATTCAAATTCTTTTGAATTCACTTTGATTCGGTTCAAATACATTTGATTATGGTTTCATTCGGTTTTACTGATAATAATTCACTCGGCATTTCATTTCCGTTTGATGAAAAATTCATTTTAGTTCAGTTCCAATTTATTTTATTAATTCTGCTGTTTCGTCTTGAGATAATTCCTATCAAATACTCGAAAAGGATGCTCACGGGCGGCTCCCGGAAGTGTTTTTTGCAAACTTGTCCCGATTTGTTTTTCCACTTTTTTTTTAATGAGGTTGGTGCAAGAGACAGATTAGTAGGAATGGTTTAGATGTGGCTTGGGTGATATATAAAATTAATTTTTTTCTTAAGACAAAAACTGAGGGCAAAAGCGCTGCAAGGTTCTAAATGACTGAAAAGCTAAAAAGCAATTTTTAGTTCTAACAGCCAATCAATTAATTAATAAATGAAGCTAACTGATGATTTTTCTTCGACCCTGAATTTGATTACTCTTAAGAGACGATTATGATATGCAGTTTCTATCTGGAACAAAGGAACTCAAACCCCATCATGAACGTTTCTATGCACAATGGAATCGTTCATCAAGCTCGTGTTTCTGGAAATATGACAGGGAAGATGATTCCGGAAGAGGAGAATTGTTTTTATTCTATTTGCCAATCTCAGCTGAATCCTTTGAAGAATTCCAAGCACACAATTTAATAGCAAAAGTCTTAAATTTTCTTTCAATTAAGTTTCTAAACCTCATACCGGAAATTTTCTGGTCGTCAAAAGGCTTTGCATTTTGAAATTGATTTCAATTTTAAAATGTCATTAGACGACTTCAATCCACGCTTGATGTGAGTACATTTTGACGTCAACAAAGTTTCATAACAAAATCCCAATTTAACAGCTAAATGATGAAATGTTGAAATATTAGTGTCTGGTCGATACGTGGCACTACGACTCCTTTGTGTGTTTAGATTGAGAGATGATGATAGGTATTTGCGGCTGTCCTAACCTGCTTTTACGTTTTCCTTCATAAGTGTGGCAGTGTGAGTCAGGATATGTATGTATGTGTGTGTGTGTGTTTGTGTATGCTTGTGTGTGTGTGTGTGTCTATTTGCATGTCTGTTTTTCGTGAGTTTATACTTTTCAAAAATTATGGCTTTCAGTTCTATTGATCTTTCTTTATTACTCTCGTACATCCAGCTCCAACGAAAGTTACACACTCCTAACAAGACCTACACACATATGTGCGCACACACAAATACACACTCACACACATAAATAAATTGAATAAATAAATAAATGAATAAATAAATGGATGAATGAATGAATGAATAAATAAATAAATAAATAAATAAA